ATCCGCTTCGTCATGCCTAGAGCTGATCCGTGCTGGTCGCTGAGGAAATACATTAACTTCGCGCTGTGGATCACCGGATCGGCTTTCACCGTGGACGAAGCGAAGTCCCGCAAGCTCGCCGGCCGCACCGTTCTCAAGCCCGCTGGCCATTCCTCACTCAAGCCGGCCTGCGCTCACTCTAGCCTGCCGCCGCTCACTCTAGGCCACCGGCCTCCGCTCACTCTAGCCCACCGTGTGTGATGCTGTGTGTTTCATTGTGCGAGTTTTGAGCAGTGTAGAGTAGCGCTTGTTGTTTGTCATTTCTCCGATCACAAATGCAGACATGGTTTTATGTTTAAGCGGCGCGATGCAAAAAAAAAGACAGTTATAATCCGTAATGATGTCCCCACTGGATGCAACAAATGCCTCGTTTATAATGGGTTTTATTGTTTTTGTCTCGTCGCTCCGGCTGGACAGGGCATTACAGTATGGTAGGGGTGTAACATTGCCGTCACACGCTTGAGGTATTCGGCCAATATTGACGCATTTCAGAAAGGCGGGGCATAGAGGAGAAAAAATAATGTACAGTATATGGAAAATAATGTGTTTTTTGAACCTTAAACCGCATAAACACATTTCATTACACCAAATACACAAAATAATGTTCTTTTTAGCAACGTCATATGACCCCTTTAATCAAAACGGCATACTCAGTTTCATGCCATTTCAGAGTGGATCCTCAACATGTTTGAACATGGATATTGGCAAAAAAGCCTGAAAGTCTTGCGACATCGGTAGGACGTAATAAAGATTCCTTGAGGCAGACTTGGAATAAGACTACTAATAGAAACTGCTTATTAATAGAAACTATTTATGACATTTTAGAATGAGAACACACAAACAATTCCTGAAAATGTGTCTGCAAGCAAGTTCAACCAGAGCAATAAAGAAAAGGCCTCTATTTGTGGTCCACAAAGTGCACTTAAGAGATATTGAATCGGACTCCATGGGCTTCCTTTATATCCACGTTTCTGTCTAGGCTTCAATGTTCCCAAAAAAAACAAAAAAACAAAAAATAAAAAATAAAAATAAATTAATAAATTAAATTAAATGAAAAACATTAATATGGCACATATTAATCAAAATTGAAAATCAGACAATCTTCAACTATCTTATATTACTCCATGGGCATATCCAATATCCACGTTTCTGTCTAGGCTTCAATGTTCCCAAAAAAAATAAAAAATAAAATAATAATAAAAAATAATAAATTAATAAATTAAATTCAATGAAAAACATTAATATGGCACATATTAATCAAAATTGAAAATCAGACGATCTTCAACTATCTTATATTTAACATTCATATTTATATGATTTATGGGATCTTCTCAAAAGCAGGAAATTACTTTTGTTGCATGACAATACCAAAACTATGCACAGCCCACGAACACCTGGGCACACCTTTACATTTATTAAAACGGATACACCCACATAGTCAAACCCAAGTTTATTGCATAAGAATGTATTTATCCAGACATCAACAACCAAAAGCGTATAGTATGAGGAACAACAGATCCATATTACACCACCGTGAGTGGAAATGAAACAGCATGAAAACTCACTTATTTCCTAAATTTTGCCAGCTATACCAACCACAACACATACTATTATTAGGTCTTTAATTCGTAAGATCCTGTTCATTTTAATCAGATTTGACCTGCTGATAAACTACAAGCCTGCGTTCTCTCTCAGAGCAGATGGGAAATGACACGAGGAGGGGGAAACGGCGGCTCTGAACGGGGTTGAAGCCGAAGAGGAAAAAGGAGTGAAAATAAAGGGAAGGAAAACTTCCTGAGCGTCACGGGCTGCTCCAGTGACGCCTTCTCATTGTTTCTCAAGTGTTTAGAACAGAAAAGACACAGACTTGAACTTGTCTGGGAACTAACCCTGAAAGCAGCTGATATGTTTATAGTTTTGTGTCTGCGAACCCACTGTCGGATAAAACGAATCCCTGTTGCAACATTTACCCATGTGACAGATGTAACATGTGACCATATTTGTCTAAAAGTGTGACACTCCACAGTTCAGTTCAGACATACAGTGGGTACGGAAAGTATTCAGACCCCCTTCAATTTTTC